CGTTCCACCCCTGGCCTTGCTGGACGGGAAGAGTGCCTGGGTCTCCAATGTGGCACCTTCATCCCCAGGCAAAACTCGAATCCACTGAACCCTCGTCTTCTAGGCTCTCTTGGCTCTTCTCTTCCCTGGCATGCGACAACTCCTTGCAGGGACCCAGAGCACTGCGCACTTTCCATGTCAACCCAGGCCCTGCTCTCTAATTCCAGAAAGCACACTGAAATATAGCTGAGCGAGGTGGCTCAATATTAAATGAATAAACTCACATTTACTCTATCATTTTTAAAACAGTAAATTACAAACGAAGATACTGTACTTTAATGAATATTAGTCACAAATGACTAATTTCCCCCAATCTCAACACATCCAGCTGAAATTGAAAACTGCTGCTGTGAATGAGCCCAGCTTCCTCCTTGAGAACAAGACCTCTTTGAGTCTATTTACCACACTGAGACCGTCCTTCACCTGGTGATGTCAGGGAGTCAATCTAGGGACCACCAATGGAAAAAAGAGAAGATGTGGGAATGAGGGAGTCTAGAGGTTTAAGACTCCAGTCTAGTCCTGTCTCTGCCACCACTTGAACACCCCTAGGCCTTAACTTCCCAAGGTAAAACTAGAGGTCTAGACTAGTAAGATGTATGCCCCTCCCCACCTTTGCCAAGCCCCGTCTGATATGAATTCTTGCTCACTTAATATTTTTCTTTGGCACAAAAACAGACATACAGATCAATGGAACAGAATTGAGAGCCCAGAAATAAACCCACACATCTACAGACAGCTAATTTTCAACAAGGGAGCCAAGAACATACAATGGAGAAAGGATAGTCTCTTCAATAAATGGTGTTGGGAAAACTGGACAGCCACATGCAAAAGAATGAAAGTAGATCTTATCTTACACTACACACAAACATTAACTAAAAATGGGTTAAAGATGTGAATGTAAGACCTGAAACCATGAAACTTCTAGAAGAAAACATAGGCAGTACACTCTTTGACATCGGTCTTAGCAGCATATTTTCAAGAACCATGTCTGACCAGGCAAGGGAAACAAAAGAAAAAATGAACAAATGGGACTACATGAGACTAAAAAGCTTCTGCACAGCAAAGGAAACCATCATCCAAATGAAAAGACAAGCTAACAATTGGGAGAAGATATTTTGCAAATCATATATCTGATAAGGGGTTAAGATCCAAAATATATAAAGAACTCACACATCTCAACAACAACAACAACAACAAAAGCCAATTTAAAAATGGGCAAAAGATCTGAACAGACATTTCTCCAAAGAAGATATATAGATGGCCAACAGGTACATGAAAAGATGTTCAACATCACTAATTATCAGGGAAATGCAAATCAAAGTTACAATGAGATATCACCTCATGCCTGGCAGAATGGCTATAATTTACAAGACAGGAAATATGTGTTGGAGAGGATATGGAGAGAAGGGAACTCTCATCCACTGCTGGTGGGAGTGCAAACTGGTACAGCCACTATGGAAAACAGTATGGAGATTCCTCAAAAAATTAAGAACAGAAATACCACGTGATCCAGCTATTCCACTGCTGGGTATTTATCCAAAGAACATGAAAACACGAATGCGTAAAGATACATGCACCCTTATGTTCACTGCTGCATTATTGACAATAGCCAAGACTTAGAAGCAACCCATCAAGGGACGAATGGATAAAGAAGACGCGGTGTATTTATACACAATGGAAAACTACCTAGCCATAAAAAACGATGAAATCTGCCCATCTGTGACAACACAGATGGACCTTGACGGTATTAATGCTAAGTGAAATAAGTCAGAGGAAAAAAGTCAAATACCATATGATCTCATTCATAAATAGAAGATAAAAACAACAGAAACACATAGAGACAGAGACTGGATTGGTGGTTACCACAGGGGAAGGAGGGAAGGAGGGGGGCAAAACGGGTGTTTCGGCGCACGTGTGGTGATGGATGGTAACTAGTCTGGGTGGTGAACATGATGTAATCTACACAGGAATCAAAACATAACGATGTACACCCGAAATTTATATAATGTTATAAACCAATGTTACCACAATGAAAAAAACTAAATTAAAAAATATTTTTTTCTTTACGTGACTCTCTTCTTTTACCCCAAAATTTTCTTTTAAGAGCAAACATTAGTCACCTTTGGAGCATAATAATGAACCAATTCATGAAAACTGTTAAATAACGGGAAGAATCAAGCGTTTATCCTGCCTTTCCTATATGAACTGTACCACTGGGGATCTAGGCAATAGATAAGGAGCAGGCTCTCTTTACAAAAGCATTCCAGCTAATAAATGAAAAAGAAATGATAGAATTAGGATACCACCATCTCACAATCCTTAATGAATTAATGGACCTACGCATCGAGCATCAGTGGTTGCCAATCTCACAAAAAAGAGACAATCAGACATTATGTGCCTTTGGATGAAAGAATACACTACCCCCCACGGCCTTGCCAAAGGGATGGAACCTCAGTCTGACTAAGCCTCAGGTCAACCACCAAGGCACAGGAAACACAGAGGACAGAGGGGTCCTGTGGAAGTATCCCATGACTGTGCAATCAGCAAAACCCAGACTGAAAACGGCCCGAGGATCTCAGCAGATAAAAGTAGCGGCTGGAAGGGATAGGGGAGGAAATCACTATACCAAAAGACTCAAAGACATATCAAACTTCTAAAAGCAGGAAAGATTAAACTAGCCTATCGAGGGATGAAAAACTATAAAGGCAGGCAAGGAAGTCAAGCTACCATTGGGGGGAGGTTGAGATTAGAACACAGAGAAGTTTCCAGAGTGGCTGCCAAAGTTCTCTTTCTCGGCCGGGGTAGTCGTACAAGGAACTTCACCTTATAATAACTCATTACTCAAGCATCTATTTGGTGTGGTTTTCTGTATTAGTTATACCTCAAAATTAAGAAATGAAAAGACTTCATAGCACTGTCATAAATTGAAGAAGTCTGTAAAAAATATATACAATGAAAGCAAAAACAATGACCTAGAAACTGCTGGTTGCCAAAGCTCAGAACCTGAAGCCTGGTACTCTCTCTTTGTTAAAAAAGTGAGTGTTAGAAAGATGTTGTGGGCGTCCCAGAACCAAAGGGAAACATTGTCCTCGACGTACTCAGAAGAACTTCAAGTGAGCTGAGGAGGGGAATGTAATTTCAAATCCATGCCCCACCCAGAAGCACCCTTCACGCTACCCAGAATAGTGGTGCATGCTCCATACTTTGGGAAACACGATTCCAGCTCCTCGTCCTGCCTGCAGTGAGGCAAAGGATGTTCTTATAGCCCTGTGTCACCCAGCAGACCCCAAAGGGGCTGGTGGACCAAAGTCCCCTCAGGAATACTGTACATATTGCCTAAAATGTTTCCTCCCTCGACGACCTGTGGTAGCGAGACTGTCTAGGATTTGGAGAATCTGGCCCCAGAAAAATCATCTCATCACTCAAAACGCAGACGCCTTTGTGGCGACCAGGCCACAATCTGCAGACCCAATCGCCTCTCCAGGTTCTGCCATCACACCCCCTATTGCATTGTTTTGTAACCATCCCCACATCTGTTTCCTCTGCACTAAGACCATGAATTTCTTAAAAACAGGACCTAGCTTACTCAGCTCTATACCTCAGCACTTTGTCAAGGCCAAGGCCAATGTTAAATGTTTGTGAAGTGAATAACCAACATTTCTTGAGCGTTCACCAGGTACCCAGCACTGTGTTAAGAGCTTCTCAGGTGTAATCTCACTTCCTCCTCACAACAACCTTGTCGCTACTATTATCTCATCCATTTTACAGATGAGGAAACTGAGGCCCAGAGAGGTTTTTATAATTTTCCCAAGGCCACTCAGCCAGTAAGTGACAGAGCCGGGATCTGAACCCATGTTTCTCTGACCCCAAAAATGTATCAAGAGACTACTTTGAACAGGGAAGGAGTGAGTTCCAGCTCTACCCATCTCACACAGGGCAGTTCTCCGGCTGGCGTGTGGTCTGCAATAAGAAAACACCCCGAGTCCGGCTATGCGTCTTTCTCGGCTGCGAATGTTTAACCTAGCTTAGCAGAGCACAGAACTTGGTGATGTTGGAGAAGAAAGGAAGTCCCAACCTTTAAATTATACGCAGCATACAATAGCATCCCCTCTCACAAAGGGGTTGAGCTCTAAAATTAGTATGTAGGGTAAGAGCTGGAGAGAGTCAAAATAATCTTGAAAAATCCCTTAAAGCATCTTTCAGTCACCGGGCCACTGGCCCTTAGAAGCCCCAAAGGCAAGAATTTACTTTTTACCTCTTTGTCTTTGGGCTCTGGCCTCCCCGTCCTGAGGAATGGAGGCCAAGGTCTAATTTGGACAGGAAAAAGCTACGAAGTTACTTAAAGGGATGTCTCCTGCTCTTGGAGATAGAGTTGGAATCACAGTTAATAGTAGATAGTGGACAAATGTCCCCTTCCCTTCATTGGAGCCACAGCTCTGAGCTCACAGCCCCTGCCTAGGACACTGTGCGCCTTCCCGGAGTCCTCTGAGGGCTTTCTCAGGCTACCCCGCCTCCAAGAAGGTCCATGCCACTTGCAGGATGTACTCGTGCATATATCTGAAGGGTCTGCAGGGCCGACCGTGACCATCTAAAGTCACAACGCAGGGACCTTTTCTCACTGCCGTCTGGAAGTTCTGCTATTACATCTCATATTGTGAGACCAAAAGTCCTGAGTGCCTGTCCTCAAGTCACCTCTTGCTGTCAGGGAAAGGCCCTGCTCTGTTGGTTATAAAACCAATTGCCTGAGTTCCTTTATCTTTGTTGAAACAGCATCTGCCTCAGAGGAGAGCACTTCTCAGCAGCAACCTCAGAAACTCTCAGCAGAGTTCCCAGGCCCCAAATCTTCCCGTCTAGAATGGGAGGGCCCAGGGGTTCCTTTGGGGTGGGTGCTGCTGGGATAGCTTTGCCCAAATCCTGGTGAAACTCTGGAGGTGGAGTGGCCAGGCCTGCATGCCAGTTACCATGGTCTGAAAGCAGGAGTGCAGCTGGGTCAGGAACGGCGGCTTCCCGGGCAGGGCCAGCACCCGCTTCTCCACCATCGTGCATTCCACATCGTCATCTTGGATCACCACATCCTTCTTGAGGATCTTCACAGCATAGAGCTCATCTGTGCCCTTTCGCTCTGAGAGCATGACCTGGAAAGAGAGCAAGGATGTCAGGATAGTTGGAAGGGGCCCGAGGGAAAGCCACGGGTGGCTGATGTTCCTTCAAATCCACTCCAAGCTTTGTCCAGACGCCCTCTGTTGACGCGGAAACAATAGGCGAAGTTTTGACAGACCTCACACTTGGAATGGCTGAACCTAGTGAAGAGAGGATGGTTCCAAGAGCAATGATCCAGTACCGATCCCTTTGGGATATGTATCAATGCCCAACCAACATGGTTAGAACATAAACCCCACGGGGGCAAGCATCTTTGCTTGTTTTGTTCACAGGTGTAACCCAGGAGCCTGGAATAGTGCCTGGCACATGGTAGATGTTTAATAAAGATCTGCTGAATGAGAGAATCAGTGAATTCCTGATAAAACTGAATTTGGGGCACTTGTTCCCTATTCATTCAACTATTTAATATTCATTAGGATCCTGCTAGGCACTGGGGATACAACAAAAAACAAGCAGGCACGTTCTCTGACCCTGCACTCCAAAGAGGAAGGAAGACTTCAGACATTAATTACAGGGATGATTAACGCAACATTTTAACATCCTCTCCTGTTGTCCTGGGGGTTCTTTCCACTCAGCTGTGGTCACAATCAGGGCATGTAAATTGGTGTGCTTGTGATGTCATTATTTTCACTGGTTGTGACTATGCCAGAGGGAACAGTGACCAGCAGATACCATTCTCAAGAAGCCACTTAGGAAGCACAGGGTAGGACTACTTGCACAAGACCCAGCCTGGCCTGGGGGCTTCTGGGAAGGCTTCCTGGAGGAAGAAGCAATCATATTGAAGTATTTATTGCATGCACTATATCGGATATTTTGTAGATAATATTATCAATCACCACAATATTTTTGAGCACATATCAATGTGCCAGACAACGAGTGGTTTTCATGTATTATTTCTCATTTACTTTGCATAAGACCTAGTGGGTAGGAACCATTAAGAATCCTATTTTATAGAGAACAGAGGCTCAGGGAGGGTAAGCAACCTGTCACAGCATGAATTCAGTTAGGAACAGAGGCAGGATTTGAACTCCGGTCTACCTGACAGCAAAGTCTCTGCTTGTAAATGCTCCACCTGCTCAGAGCTCCAGAAGAATCCTCCAGGAGGTTAGGTGGCTGAGGAAACAAAGTGCTCACATCTGACTCAGCTGGAGGACCAGAGAATGCAACAGAGGCCTGGGGTCAGAGGAAGTGATGCACGGAGGGAGGCTCAAGGAGGAAGGGCAGCACAGCCCGCTCCACTCGGCCCTTATCCTAAAGCTCAGAGGTCTGACTGGACTCATGCACAGAAGCTTCCAGCCGAGCTCCCTGGCTCACGCAGAGGCCCCGTCTCCTGCTCTCACCATCTTCTGGCTTGTCACAGCCGGGGGGGGGGGGGGGGGGCCCGGGCACTGCAGACTCAGGACTTTAGAGCTCTTAGGAAGAAAGTTTCCTGGCGTCCGCTTCCACAGCAACAGGACTTTCTCAACCTTTTTCTCTCCAGCCCCACCGTAGAAATAGGAGCTGCCAAGCTGAGCAGGTCTCACCTGCTGGCATTTACTCAGTCCTCACAGCAGACCCACCAGCCCACGCTGCAGGGTAGGTCTCAAAGTGCTGGAACGTGTGTCTTAGTTTATTTCCCATTTCCTTCTGTTCTCTCGCTGGTACCCAAGAGCCGTTTCCCTTCCCCAGCCCTCACCAAGGCAGAAACAGTGACTCCAGGGAGCCACCGTCCTAAGATGCAAAGAGTCGGGTGGAGTTGGGTGCTCTGCTCCCAGATTCCAGAGAAGGCTGGGGTGAGTGCAGGGCGGGGGCAGCGAGGTGATGTGGCCAGAAGGCAAATGGGGAGAGGGCCTGGGATTGGGAGCGAGAAGAACCTGCAGCTGAGAGGACCCCAGAGTACAACAGATGCTCAGGCTGTGCTTTCTTTGCTTGTGGACAGCCCCACAGACCCATCAGACGGGTCAAGGCACCATCTCACAATCCTGAATACTTGTAACACCCCCTACACCTGCCACACACACACACTGCTCGTGAACACAGGGGAGGGGCGCTGGGCACCTTGAATGCTGACGCAGTCATGATAGGACATCTTAGTGCCCTGCCTGGGGAGAAGCAGGACAGATGGCTGGGAATTCCCCATGCACCAGCAGCACGGGCGGACATCCTACATCTGTTTCAATTATCCCCATTCTACAGATAAGCAAACTGAGGCTCAGAGAGATTAACCTGCTTGAGCTAACGATTGCTGTAAAAATGCAGATCTGAACATGCTCCTCGAATGCTTAAAGTCCTTCACTGGTACCTGCAAGCCACACAATTCCATAACCACATCCTCCTCTTTCTCTTCCTTTGAATGTTCTGTTCCCACTGCCTGCAGTGTCCAGCCCAGCTGATAACTTTCAGTGATCCACTTAGACCAAAGGGGTCACTCCCTCCTCTGGGCACCAGGATTGCTTGGTAGCCCTGTCAGTGACTTTGACACAGGCTTTTCCAAACTTCAACCAATCAGTCATGTGCCTTTTCCCATCTTTTCCTACCACCTAAACTGGTACTTGCTTAGTATTTTAAAAATCCAGTCATTTTTTTACTTAACTAAACTTATCTGAAAAGGAAACTTTATATCACCACTATTAATGGCAAGCCAGGATCACTAGCCATAAACGGAAGACAAACATAAAAATAAATAAAAGCAAAGCAGTGCAGGAAATTCTAGCTCGATACTGCTCACTGCTGAAGGTTCTGAGCCAGGCCCTGCGTTTCCTCCTTGTTAAAGGAAAAAATGATATTAGCAAATATTAGAGAACTATTAGTGGCATATTGCCATCAAATGAGACTTTCTTGTTCGAGTAATTAGAAAGACAAAAAGAAAACATAAAGAGAGAATAATGGATATCTTGATGTGATTTACTTTTATGTAATATCACGTCTATGTACCACCTAAAAAAAATCTCAAGTACTAAACTAAAATCATCTTGCAAATCATCAAGGAGAGGGGTTCACACCTTAGGAAATTCTGTTGCATTTGTAAAGATAGGTTTTTCAGTCGATCAACAAGGTTGTATAAAGATTCTCAGTGCCTTGCCCTGTCCTAACCACATGGGTAGACGGAAGAACAAGCCAGTGCCAGATGGCACTTCTAACATCATGCGAGTGGTATGCAAATGTGCCAAGTTTGGGAAATTCTCTTATATTGGTTGGAGGGAAATAGAACTGACGCACATGAAACATAAGTAACAATTTAGATATAGAACTGAATTAAATTCTAGAGCAGGGGTCGGCAAACTTTTTCTGTAAAGGTCCAAATAGTAAACATTATAGGCTTTTTGGGAAATCTCGGTATCAACTACTTCACTCACCATTGTAGCACTAACGCAGCCATAGACAATACACAACGATTAGCTGTGTTCCAATAAAACTTTATTTACAAAAATATATGGTGGGCCAGGCACCCTGTTCTAGAACTTGTGTTTCAAGAAAGATGAGGAAAAATAAGAGTGACTATACTATCAAAAGTGGCTGCAGTTTAATTTTGAGATGAACTCTACCATCTCTTTCATTTATTCCAACTCCTTATTAGAAGAACCCTCTGACTGGTCAGTGGACCCACCTGGCCATAGATGATTGGATCAGAGGTAGATAACTGATCTAAGCTGAGCTGATCAGATTCTCTCTCCTAAAATTTGGAATTGAGACACTCCAAGCAGTCAGTCCTGGGCCACTGAATAGAGAAACACACAGAGCTGCCAGGAGTGGTCCTTTTCCACCACACACAGGCAGAGACGAATGAAACACACGTGCGGGGGAGAAAAGAAGGTCAGAGAATGAGCAGAGGCCTTGCTTTCCAGTTCCTGGTTCCAATCTCTCATGAGGCTTGGCTGTTTCCTATTAGAAACCTCCATATCCCTCCAATAAAGTTACCATTTTTATTTATATTAGGGTGAATGGATTTCCGTTTCTTAGAGATCCTGTAAGACAAAATTATTACCCGGGTATCTCAAATTCTTAATAAAAATAAAAATTTCAGGAAGCCAAATAGCATTAGGTCAGGACGTGACCTAAAACAAGGCAAATTCCACGCTGTGTAAGGACAGAGCCTCTTGCCTGTATCAGAAGCACATGGGGGCACTTGTTTACAATACAGATTCCAAGAACCTTCTCGCATCCGGAAGCTCTGGGTGGTGGCCTGGGAGTCTGCATTTTAACAAGCACCTCCCCTCCCCTTCATTCTAATCACTAAATTTGTTGTTCTGAGGAAGTATGAGGTGCTCTTAAAACTGATTCATTTAATGCGGTGGTTAGGAAGTGTCCACAGGTACAACAGAATCCTTCGATCTTGATTTTCCTGAGACTCTCTCAGCAGTCATTCATGTGGGGTGAGAAGGGAACTTTCTTTTGCTTCTTAATATTTTAATGAAGCTTTCCTTTTCGGTAGGAATCTCTCTGCCCCCTCTTAGAGAACTATTTGAGAGCTTTCCCCATGTCATGAAGGAAGTGATATTCTGTAGTGGTTTCAAAAGATGTCTACAACAGAATTGAGAGCCCAGAAATAAACCCACGCATCTATGGACTGCTGATTTTCGACAAGGGAGCCAAGAACATACAACAGTGAAAGGAAAGTCTCTTCAATAAGTGGTGTTGGGAAAACTAGACAGCCACATGCAAAAGAATGAAAGTAGACCATTATCTTACACCATACACAAAAATTAACCCAAATTGGATTAAAGACTTGCATGTAAGACCTGAAGCCATGAAACTTCTAGAAGAAAACATAGGCAGTACACTCTTTGACATCGGTCTTAGTAGTATCTTTTTGAATACCATGTCTTAACAGGCAAGGGAAACAAAAGAAAAAATAAACAAATGGGACCACATCAGCCTAAAGAGCTTTTGTACAACAAAATGAAAAGACAACCTAACAACTGGGAGAAGATATTTGCAAATCATCTATCTGATAAGAGGTTAATCTCCAAAATATATAAAGAACTCATACATCTTA